TCTATCTATCTATCTATCTATCTATCTATCTATCTATCTATCTATCTCTACTGTAAACACACCAAAGGGTAGGGACTTTAGAGATTACTTTAATTGAAAATGAATGTTTTTTAATATAATTTTTTGTTTTTGTTTGATTCACTAATTAATTTAACTGTTTATAGATATCTATTTGTTGAAACTGAACCCAAAGCTGCTAATACCAATGACAGAGTTGGATCTTCATCAATCAGGGTAATTATGCAGATGTCTACTACCCCCAGTGAAACCAATTAGGTCTGGGAATCGAAAGGAGTCAGTATAGATTTGAGTCATCACTGATATCCAGTGGGGACTTGTTGCTGTTTGTACGTGGCCTAAAAGTCTTCCTGGAGAGCTGTGCCAGTGACAGCACCTGGCAACAGTCTCATGATCTGGCGCAGCAGGGGTGATTAGGAGTGTACCACTCCTGATGATCTTCATTTCCATCAAAGGCCTGCAGTGACCTTTGTTGTCTCCACCTGAAGATTTGCATCTCCTTTGCATCTCCTTGCATCTCCTTGCAGATGCATTAACATGTATACTTAGGAATTAGACTTTAATTACTACTAATGATGTAGTCTGAGTTTAATTAGGCCCATTTTCACACTTCATTACCATAAAATGATTTTAACCTTCCCCTTGAGTGAATAAGCATTAGCAGATCTGAAAAAGGCTTCTCTAAACAAATTTCTGAGAGCTACAGCATCCTGATGCTCCTGCACATTAAGAGAATGTAGACATGCGTGAAAGTGGCAGTGAAGCTCTCACTCCTCTTAAAATAACATTTGCAGCTGGCACAGTTTGCTGTTAATGCCAGCAGCATAACAAGCACTGCCATGGTTACCTGTGTGGAAACCAAGTCATCAGGGACTTTCACTCCTCCCATCCCATATCACTCTCCCTGGCACCATCAACATGTTTACTGACACTGCAATATGATGAGTAGTATGACGATTTAACTATTTGATTAAAATAAAGCTTGGCACAATCTTTTTTTGAAAAAAATAGTTGAGCCAAACACTTTCACTTGTGCTCAAACCCCTGTCCATTGGTCTCACGTGCTCTAAACATTGTGACTTTCTTGGTAAACTGAATGCATTAACAAGCTCGAAAAGATGAGTTGACCTCACACCTCAGCTTTTCACCCACCTTTTACACCAGTGATTTGATTTAAAATGTTAATCACAGTATTCAAATTCATATGATCGTTTCCAGTTGACTGCCATTATCCTATGGTCCATCAGGGAGCTGTTTTCTTAATGAGGGGAGGAGAGAGGGTGAGCCACAGAGGACTTGGGCTTTGAGGACACCCTGAGCAGACGGGTTAGAATCATCTCAGGCACAACATGACTTTACTATGCCGTCGTTAAACGTACAGTCCATATTTTGATCAGTGAAAAAATGTGTTGGATGTTCTCCATCTTGGTGGCTGAAGCCCTGCTGGCTCTACTTGGGGGAGAAAATACTGTGGTTGAAGGTAGGCCCATGAGCTGAAGACGGCTTCACATTAGAGCAAAATGAAGCATTTGTCTGCTTTTCACACGTCTGGATTTTCAACGTATTGTCTGTTTGTATTTCAAATGTACAAATCCATGAGTAGCATTCATGGCTTACTAGAATTAGACATGAAATGTAATTCACAAACTGTATTTTGCTCTAGGAAATAGTCTTTCTTCATCCGGCTACCATCTATGTATTCGTAATGAGACAAGGACTGTGAGTTCCCTGGTCGCGCTCACGGTGCCCTACACTGTGACACAGCCCTGTGGTGGCTGGCTCCTCTGGTCAACATGTACAGTCACCCTTTACAAGATGGTGCATCAGATTGAGTTCAGAGAAGTGGAGGAGCAGGTGACGAGGTGTTGCGATGGCTACGTCCAAGTCGGTCGCTACTGTGCCCTGCGTGAGTCAAATCTGCATCTTTTATCCACCCCTTGGTTTGATAACAGTAGAGCAGCACAGATTTGTTTGCTCCGAGACACCAGAAGTGTCATCATATTTGTCAAGTCTGATGAGATGGCATCACACACTGTAGACGGCCCAGCAGCCTGAGTGAATCTCCCTTGTGTGGTCCTGTCTGCAAGACACCAGATGGAGGATGCTACAAATATCTCTCTGCTAATATGTGGCTTGTAACATGTCATTTCCTTTGAATGAAGCTGTAAACAGGAGTGGTGAGTTTACTGCCAAGCCTGGATCCTGTCCAGTGGAGGATGGATTGTGTCCCAGATGTGTGGACTGTGAGTTTGATATAGACTGCCCGGGCTGGCAGAAATGCTGCCAGAGATCAGGCCGCTCTCTCTGCAGCGATCCTACAAGTTAGTATTCGTCCTGATTGTACTATTATTAAACTATATAAGCTACTACTGGTAAAAGCGAGATTAACAGTCAAACTATATCCACTTGATGATTATAGAACACATGCTAAATCCACTGTCGATCAGATGATATGTGAACGCATATTATATCTACCAGCTATAAATTTAGATTTAAAAACTCATGCACTATATATAATATATCATTTTTATATGCATTTACTTATGTAATGAGCTAAAAATCACATGGCAATGAAACAGGTTTAAGGCGTCTTAACTTATTGGACCTTATTAAAGTAAATCCTTTTTGGTCCTTCTGGCCTGTCACACATTAATTTTTATTGACTGCTCTAGTCTGCTCTGTGACCTATTAGTAATTCACTCATTAATACATTCATTATTTATCATCAATGGTCATGATTAGGAGCAAAAGAACTGATGGATCAAAGTATAAAAACATGATATTTTGTGATTTTGCAAATTTGGAATTTTGTCCTGATCAGGGAAAGTGGAACTCACCCTTCAGAAACCGCATGCACTCATCCATTGCTCAACTTTCTACTATGAAATGCCACATTTTGTTCATTGCTACATTTTGTTCATGTGGCCAAGCTGACCTATTGTATTGCTTCCTGTTTATTGTCATTCAAGTGGTTTTCTCCATCCACGTGTGAGGCACCTGAGCTTTGCTATCACCTCTCACACCTGTGTTTATGTGGCTTGACCTAAAAAAAATGGATACATTTTTGGAGTTGGTGAGAAAATGTGACTTTTAAAACTGCAATGGGATCAAACTGGTGATTCATTTTCAGCCTCAATGAGTAATACGGGGAATAGAGGAAGCCTCTGGAATGCAACAGTGACCGTGAAGACAGATTACCAGCAGCTGATGTCGAAGGAACATGGACTTCTGAATCTGACAAGATTGCTACACGCAATGGTAAAACTACAGCCAATGCTTTTCCTTTTTCTAAATGCTTTGGGAATATCATTCATTAGACATTTAAACATATTTCACTAACAGGTAACAGGAGCTCTGCAGTCTGAGGTTTCCATCTACTACTACTTCAACTCATGGTCCGTTCATCCCTTCACAACCACCTCCTCTCTTCTGATTGAGTGTAGCTTTGCTCTGTCAATGCACAGCATTACATCAAAGCTGTATTTTCTTCTCAAAGACATTCCGGAGGTGTCATCAATAACAGTGCAAGGTGAGGAGTCAGCATTGTTCTTTAAAGCAGCACTGGGCTCTCTGTGAAGCTACTTGAGGCGTCTTTTGCTGCATAGAAATGAATGTTAAGTTTTGAGAATGATTCATGAGCTAGAGAACACGGTGTTCAGGAAAAAATGACTCAGTCGCACCACCGTTTCCTTCTCCCACCGCTTCTGTGTGAGTGACAGTCATCTGTGGGATGTTTCCTGCAATAGCGGAAAATAACACAAGAGCTCTTGCGTGCGTGCACACACGCACACACGCACACACACACACACACACACACACACACACACACGCACACACGCAGTTACTCACGAGCACAGAGACATGAATCACAAATCATACTTACAGTTGCACAAAAGACAGTAACAAGCTGCCACCGTGTGCAGGCATTAGGCTGACTTCAAACAGTTTTCTTACAGACTATTAATTTTCTTTTCTACGCTGAAGGCTTCAAGGCTTGAGTTAAATGTCACAAAGTGCCTATTTTTAGACACATCTGAATGGTTTTACCTTTGAATTAGAGACAATGAAAACTGAATCAAACCAACTTGAACATTGTCACCTTATGCATCAAATAATGCAATTAGTTATTTTAGTTATTACATTAGTTATTTTTTACAGTTAATTGAGCTCTTTGTATTAATGTGTTGTCTCGTCATCGAACCTCACCGACACACAGTCCTAACTTAACTGCCTTCACATGTGGTTTTTAACTGCAGATGTGGATGAGTGTGCACATCCCGCTCTTCGTTGGTGCCCCCGTCAAGCAGACTGTAACAACACAATGGGCTCCTATCAGTGTTTTTGCCATCAAGGATATAATGATGCTGACCCCACCGAGCTGGGGGTTAATTGTACAGGTGAGAATTTGTTTTTGGTTCTGGTGCAAATGTCACATAAACCATTTAATATTCACATTTAACATTACAATTTATGTAAGGTGTATATAGCCAATCTTTGCAAATCAGGAAATGATAATCATTTTTTAAAAATGTATACATATATATATATATATATATATACCTCTGCTCATCAACAAATCTGGGCACATTTTGCTAACGTGAATAATTCTATTAAACTGAAGCCGAGATGCAGAAGTTGTGTGTG